CTGAGTTTCTTTGGTAACTTTTGATGTGTAGATAATAGTACATGGAATTACGTATTTAAATACAGTTTTCTTTGTATGTGTGTATATCATGCTCACATTCTGTGTGATTTTTGAATGCAGAAAATGGAACCAGGCATAGTAATATTTGTGAGACATAATAGCTGTTACTATTTTAGAGAACAACAGTGTCCTGCTGGAGGGACTGGCACAGAAACAAARCAGAATCTTGAGACAAGCTGATAACGTTGGTTTGGGCACTGCCAGTCTGCAGAATGGCACAAGTTAGGTCATGAGGTACATTTTCAAAAGAAAAATTGAAGGAAGGTGGTATATGTGCTAAAGGGTCATGCAATTTTAAACAAGAGTATGCAAAGTTTTAAGAAGTTTAGTCAGTGAATAGACGACCAAAAAGKCTACAATCAGGTTGGATCAGAGGAGAGCAGAGATTATGAAGGGGTGGCACGAGACCTGACAGAACCAGTTTGGCAGGAAAGGATTGCCCTCTCTGTCTCGATATGGGCTTTCAGAGGGTGGCTGAGGTACTTGGATTCTCCTTTCACCTTAACAGGTGGTGTTTTAAGATTTTAATTTTATAAGTATTCTAAAGGTTGTAAACTGACTAATGTGGCAGTCCTGGGACTGAGGCTGAATCATAGTGATGAAATGGATTTTTATGGCTTTTGTGATTAACTTGTCTAATGTCAAAGATAAGATTTGTTGTTATCCTGTCTGTGATTTTCCATTTTCATTATCCACAGCTAATGTAGATTCAGCATCCACAAAGTTTTTTCCAGCAAAAAGAATTCCCTTTGAAAAGTGCATCTATGCTCAGGTATTTCATAATATCAATGCCACAGTCAAATTATTATTTTATATTAGAGGAGTGCAGAAAGATGACAATMAAATTTATGTTTCACAGAATCACARTGTACTTAGGGTTGGAAGGGACYTCTARAGGTCATCTGGGCYRATGTAGCTACTCAAGCAGGAGGGGTTAAAAAGCAAGGTAAGAGATTAGGCAGACATGATTAGAGATGTAGATAGGGAAGCAGCAAAGTTTCTAAAATTCCTGAGTCTCCAGACTGCCATCCATGGTTTCTCTGAATACAAGATTTGGGAGTGGAAAGGCAGAGTGCATCTCTTTTTTCTGACTGTTGTGTGCAGAACATGAAGCTGGGAAGTTGAACCGCATTATCCAACACCAGGTTATATGAAATGGTGCTGTTRGATTGCTCTGCAATCCTTGTTGCAAACAAGTCTAACCATGGGATATTTTTACTTTGCTGCTTCTACAGTACCTTGTCACTGGGCCTGTTCCCCTTCCCTGGGCTTCATGTGGTGCTTAGCAGAGCCATGGTATCCCTCCCATCAGAGACCCTCCACACTTGGAGCATCTGCATCTTTGGCTCATTCCATATATATCAACTTTTTCTTATTTGTCTTCAGCAGCTAATTTCCCATATGATGTTCTTGCTTTCTCCTGCAGTATCTGAAGGTTCATCTACATGTATGAGTTGCCACATTTTAGTATATTGGTGAAGCCATTGTAATTCTACAGGACCTTAGTGATGAAAGTATCAACTTAGACTCATGACTAAATCCCTTTCTTAACAAAGGTGTAGATGTGTGGGACAGGCAGGAGCAAGCTTGCTCTATCCATAAGCCCACTTTGGCCTGGAAGGTGTTCTCAAACTTGTATAGTCCATCTTTCAGTAAACTTAAGTTACTTGATATGCCTGGCCTCTTTTCAGCAGTGGTAATAACAATGGGAGTTTCCTGACTTGTGCTTCTTGTTTCTTCAGTGCCTCTGAATTTTCAGAAGTGCCAGACATGGTATGATTGATGAGTTCAAGCTGCAAACAAAAGACTAAAGAGGAAGGTGTGTACATCASCAGGTTAAAACAGTTAATGACAATAGTACTATTATATGAATTCAGTTTCAGATTTCTGTAAAGAGATTTATTCATTAATTTTACAGRAAGTATAAATTTGGTCCAAAATGACTGAAATCCTTAGACAGAAACTTTATAGGAGTGGACTTAATATGGCAGGTGGGCTGGAGCAGCATATTGTGCAATTTGGGGACACTCAGAGCAGTGATGGCCCTGTATCAACAAGCATTTATTTTCTCTGGGAGACACAAACCCTGGCRTGGTGGGCTGCTTCTCTACTGCTGAGGATGCTAACCTGAGAACCCTGGTGCATCCAGAACTGTCTGTAAGATCTGCRTGAAGGGAGGAATTATCCTTTTCTTTAAGCATCAGACATTGTTGCTTTAAAAAAACCCTGACCCTTTAAAAAAAAAGAGTGGGGGAAGTGTTTTTGGGTGCTTCATTTCCTTCAATACTGTGCATTTTCAGTACATGGGCAAAGGATTAGTCGGAGGCATCTGGAATGTGGAAATGTTTCCAGGTTTGTTTTTCTTTAATGTACAGCAACTTTTGACAGAGCAGCTTCATAATTTTGACATTCTCAGGATTGAACAATATTAAAAGAAAATATCTTTCTGTATATGTCCAACTCAGTTACTTTGTGTAGCTTTGTAATTGTATGTATTTGCTTTCTAAGATACAGTACTTGCTTAAAAATTTCAAGGATACATGTGTTTTAAATTTTCTTTACATTTAAGAAAATAAGCTAGTATTGCACAACTTGGTCACTGAAACAGTACTCCCTGCAGGACTTGCAGTGTTCGCTGTGATTGCATAATATCACAACTTAACCTTTCTCTACCACGTAGATTTTTTTCCCTTGTCAGGAAGAACTTGAAAAGACCAATGTTTTATTATATTCATATGCAGACACAGCTGCACAGACTGGTATGAAAAATGAGCATACTAAAATACACGAATATAGGCAAATATATTTAGTAGTTGTCATAATCTATGTAAGTGCCCTTTTAAATTTTTTTAATTAGGTTGCTGTGCCGTAATAACTATGAACATCATTGTCCAGTACCCAGGATTTGGTAGCTTGGAATTTGTGTTTGCAGAATCAAATTTCCCTGGTTTGTTTTCCATCAAAATGAAATATGTTGTTTATTTATGGATAAACAGACAGCTTCTAATTGAAAATATATATCTTGTGAGAGCAGTAAGCAATCAGAACAAGTGATAGAGGCAAAAGGTGCCTGTATTGATTAGGCATTATACATCTACATGCTTTTATGTGATTGTTTATTATTTGCTTTTTTGGACTGTATAGACAGCACATTATATATTGCTGCTGACAACTGGCAATTTCTGACTTCCCAGTAGAATTGGATTCTGAGAAGATTTAGATGTGTTAAATGTGGCTTCCTGAAACCTTCTCTAGTGGAAGTAAATAGRAGTTTCACAGTGGATGTCAGCAGGCCAACACTTGACATTTACTGTTATTTTCCTACCCTTAAGAGAAAAAGAAAGGTGTACTGGGAGATCAGAGACTGGGTCATTTTGGTGACTAAAACAGTGCAGTACTATGTAAGCTTTGACAGGCAGTTAGCAATTTAATATGGAGTGCCTTAAAAAGTGGGGACACGTTAATGTTGGCATTTTGATGCCTATCCTTTGTGRATCTTCCTCTCCCTAAGAATGACACCCTTGCTGAGGTCTCAGACTGTGCAGCTCTTTCACAGATGATCCTGTCTGGATCAGTCGCTGCAGGGTTGGCAGAGACAGAGCCTGGCTCAAATCCTTGTGTGGATATTGAGCCCTCAGTCCCAACATTCACTCTGGAGGTCCTGTCCTGCTGCACCATGAGCTGGTTCTGTGAGCATTGCCTCAAATGGCTGTGCTGGGGAAGGGAGCTGCAAGAATCTGTGGGTGAGGTCCTGTGGGTGAGGGGTAACGTGCAGCCACAATCCCTGTCAGTTGTGGGTGGTAATGTCTCAAATGGCATCTCAGTGTATCGCCTGTCATGGGTTATTGATTTAAAGGAAAAARCAGAGTGTGCTTGGAATAGAGGAATGGGAACCACTAACATTTCTGAAGCTAGCACATCCAGGCATTAAGRCAACAAGGGGACATTAAAGCAAGCTGCATTTAGTCCAGGGAAATAAAAAAYGAGCTTTGGCATTCTTGATGGTTATTCCTGAATGATAGCCTGTGGGCTGCAAGTTGTTCAAGGGCTTCAATATTCAGTATTTCAGTCAGCATAAATTAATAGAAGATGAAAAGTGTTTCTACAGCATCAACAGAAGTACTCACGTTTCCTTGAGCATTTATTTAGCTCTCCCTGAGAACCTGGGCAGAAAGTCTGTGTTCATTTGATCTCRGTGAAAAATTGCAGAAGGCTTCCTTTCTCCTCCCTTTTCATTTTGCTCAGTTCAATTTTTTATGAGTTATTGTTTGTGTGGAACGATTGATTCTGTTCAGAAAGAAGTAGAACATTCTGTCAAATGCTCCTGTTGGGTACAGATTCACATCCCTGCAGTGTGGTGCTAAGGCATTTCAAAGCAATCAATTTCTGGTAAAGACGAGAGTAATGCCATAGAGAGGGTGTTGTGCATTTCACTGGCACTGAAATAAAACTACAAAACCTAAAACCAGGAGGATGCAAGTGCCRCTTGCAACATGTTGGATGCCATAGATTAGTTTTGTATGACCTTTAACAGGACTGAAAATCTATTTGATTTTGAGCTATCTTTCCCTAGATAATACAGAGAGTGCTAAAATCCCCAAAAGAGCATAAAGCAATGCATGACTATGAAAGGGAGATTAATTCAAATTAAAAATGCAAACCCCATTTCTAGCAGAATATGATTGACCATTGAAAATATAAACAGCCAGGAGAATGGCAGTACATCTCTTGATGTCTTCCAGTCAAAACTTTAGTCAGGTACAAGTTATGCCTTGGTTATGCCTGATTTCCCCAGGTGATTTTGTGTCAGTCTTCAGTTGCATTATGCAGGTGGTCACACTTGGTATTTGTTATKATCTTTTTCAGATTAAGTCAGAAACTATAACATGAGCCAAATTGAAATAAATGGTATTCTTACTTGTCTCTCCCTCCCTTCACAGGTACTACAGTGCTACCATTTTGCAGATGTCAGGAGTGGAAGAYGACAGGCTTGCAATCTGGCTGGCTGCACTGACAGCATTTATAAACTTTATTTTCACTCTTGTGGGAGTCTGGCTGGTTGAAAGAATGGGTCGCCGGAAACTAACACTTGGTAGCTTAACAGGTGAGTGTTCCATTAGTGTCATATACTKTCCTCATAATTATTAATGAAAGGAAAATAAAATTTCAAGTGCAATTTTTTTCAAAGGAGYTCTCTTTAAAATTACAGTGTAGATGCCATCTTCTCCTTGAAATCATACAGGTTTTCAAGACTATTAGTGTAATACCACAGCTAAAGGCTAATTTAAAAATGACAGCCTGTTATTTTTTCAGCCTGTTATTCTTTCTCCTTGAAACCACATTGACAATCCTTTTATTTAGCCTTTTTTTTCCATTTTAAGGAATCAAATGCCTGGAACTTCACAGGTGGTTAGTTTTAAATCTTATACATAATTTTGGGTTCATTGATTGGAATTCAGAACCATCTGATGAAGGTGTACCGGRGACAGCATATTGCATAGCCATTGCAGCACTTCATAAAAAGCATGAAGAAACTATGCGGTTCTCTGCATAGTTACCACAGATACAGTGAATACCTTACATACACTAATGTGATTTTAAATCATCTCCAGCATGAAATACTCAAAGACAGAATTCTGGTTTTGTACATTTTGTCCAAATATTCAAACACCATAACTCATCACACTGTAATCTCTTGGAAGCAGGGAAATGCAGAGCAAGCAGCCTTCCTGTGTTCMCTGTGTCCTGTATTAGCCTGGTAATTCCCTGATTGTCCCTTCCTTATGYGCTCATTTTGGCTGAAGGAATCGGTGACCAAAGCCTGCCTATGGCTGAATGTCTGGAAAGTTCAGATGTTTGCAAGAACGGGGGGGTTTCGTAARAAGAAACTGTTCCTGCTCCTCTTGAAATGATGTTCACAAGTGTTTCACTGTAAAGGTTTAAGGTCTTTATGTTTTGTTCTGTTGCTGTTGTCATGGATCCAAATTTCTAGTTAGTGCAACACAGCAGAGAGGGGCACCAGCTGCTGTGTCACTGGATGTGCAATTCCCAGCTCTCACAGGATGTGCAATTCCCAGCTCTAGCTGAGTTAATCTGCGCTGGAGTATTTGAATGTGTTTATATAGGCAGAACAGTGACAACACGGTGACACAGTAACTGGTTTGGTACACACTTACTCAAAGCATGTTTCTTACATCTTAAAGATACAAACAAAATTCTTAAATTGCTACTTTTTGCACAACCTGTTGCATATCAGTTAAAATACATCTCTCCTATCTGTCCTGCCATGCCTCCAGGCAGTCTGTTGCCCTGTCTTTCTGTAGCATGGATCTCTCCAGGCCCTGCACTGACATTTCTGATYCTTGGGTGCTGCTTCTCCTTTAATATCTATCAAAACAGAGTATTTATTTATTAGTATTTATATATTTATTTATTTATTTATTATTTGGCCCAAATAATCTCATCTGTCTGGCCAGGCCACTCAAGAGTTTATTTCTTATCTGGATCCAGCTGTATAGCTGTGGTAACAACATGGACTTCTCATATTATCAGAGCTCGTTGCTTTTGTGCTCTGCTTAATATATTCCAAGGTTGTGCATCTGACATGTAGATGTAAATGTCTCTTACAAAGCATATTAGTCATGGAACAGAGGAGGATACAGAAATAAGACACAGAATTAACAATGGAGCATAATGCATTAAAGGGTTATTTGTTAATGATGTTTGGACACAAAGTAATTGTTTAGTAAAAATGGTCTTTCTTTTGTGGCCGGTTGCTGCCCGTCTGTCTGCAGCGTCACTTGAGCCAAGCTGCATTGGTTGCTGTGGTTTTATCCTACGGTCCCTCCTTTAGGAAAATACAAATAATGACAGTAATGAAATCATACATCATCCCTCTGTACTATTTAGAATCTTTTCATGCAACATTTGATTTKGGTACTGGTGGATATGACGTGTTTTCCTTAGCAAGAGGGCTGTGCAATAGAATGATAATTCCTAAATCTACTGATGAATTTGTTTTTCATGTTGTGTTTTCTCAYGGGGTAAACATATCTTATTGCTCTACTTTGGTTTGCATTTCTAAGSACATTCCATTTCACACTGAATTATTACTGGCAGCTTCTCTGCTCCTTGGGGAAGCCAGGTATGCCTCAGTCTCCCACTGCATAAAATGAAGACAAAACTACTGCTTTTGCCTGCTGCTGCAAGCATGTGGAGCTTTGTTCTTTTAATAAAGGCTGATTGATTAGATGTTTATTAGATAAATACCTACAAGAATAATCAGTAGGGAGTAACATTAATATTTTGATTAAAAGCCGATATACTATAATTTAATTTTGTGATCTTGTGCAACTTTTCCTGCTTTCTGAAAAMATTTGGCAAAGAGATATTTTAGGTTTCATTTAATGTGTCTTTATAATTCTTAAAATATTATAAACTTTAAAAAATTAAACCTTCCAGATAGCATTAGGAAAAATTACAGTAAACATCTGAAATAAAAAAAAAAAMCAAACAACCCACCTTTTAAATTCTCTTTACTACAATTACTGATTTGTCTTAGTTCCCTGTCCATTTTATATCTTCGCATCACTTCTTTATCTTTGTTCTGCTCTTTTTTTTCCAGTTAATTTCTTTCTTCAAAGCTGTTAGTTGGGAAACATGCAGGAATTGTGACAAGTGCATTATCCATTTTATTTGTGTTTTCTTCTTTCCCTCCAGAATTTGTCAGTTTGTAAGYGTGCTGGTACTTGGGCATTGTACAATTTGTATCTCTTTTTGTAACAGAGAGAATCTAAAATATCTTTAGGATATTTCCTTTCTCCCATCTCAGGTAATGATCTGCTGCAATTGTTTGGTTTTATTCATCATAGCAAAACTTCCTGAAGAATGAAAAGATATTAAACTTCATTTGCCAAGTTTACATATTCAGTACTTTTCCAAAGAAACAAGGTACTTCCAGAGGTACTGGAAGTGAGTGTTAGTGTATTTGGTTAACTTAAAAGACAGAAAATTTAGAATGAATATAAGTAAGATTATAGAACCTGTCTAAATATATTTGCTGTCTTGCTTATGGCATTTTGAAAGTACAGGACATCTAGTGCCATATCCAGCCTGCCTAAAAAATTTGGATTATTAAATGTACCTACCAACCATAGTAGTACAGAGTCAAGTATGGAATAAATTGAAATATCTTATGGTGGGAAGATGCTTTCTGTACACAGAGTTTGTGACTGAGTTTAAGGCTTTAGTTGCCTTGGTTCAGGTCAATGTGTGGTCCAGCCATTGGCAGTTTGTGCATATTCCTGCCTATTGGCCATGGCTTCTGCACAGGCATATTCATGGATAATGTTATTACACATGTCTTGGTACTTTGGATATTATTTTTGTCTCAAGAGAAAGGTTTTCACACCTTTTGGTGTGTTTGGCAGCTAGGAAACATTGATACAACATGGATCTCAATGTGTCATTGAGTAGCAAGAGGTAAAAGGTTGTATAAGACTGAGTTTGAGGCAGCTCCAGTAGTATCTGTAAGGAGGTTTTTCAATTTTCATTTAAATGATACAGTATATTGTGTCTGTGTGACAAATAAGGTAGGAAAATGATGAGTTGTGTTCCAGTAATGGCCTGTTGCACAAAGTATGAACCCTCTGTTGTTACCTTCCTATTGTTATTTTGTCTGGCTTGTACATAAGGAATTTGTTGGGGGAAACAGGAGCAAACAGAGGGAAGGGAGCCTTTCCCCAGCAGATGCTATATGTGCTCTTTAAAACAAGATATGTTGCATTTCTTGATGGTGTTCTTATGAAAAGTCAGATTTCTCTCATTTCACAAAGGGAAGTAGAGTCAATGAAAAAGCTGATGCAACTTTCTGTTTTACAGAAAAACCTGCAAGTGTGGGTGTGGGAGTGTGGAGAAGTGTGGTGGTTTCAAAGTCACTATTAAATTTTACCTTTACAATATTATTTTCAACAAAAAAAATACAATATCTATTCATTCAAGTCATCAATTCCACACATTTAAAAAGTCTTAACCTACTAATTTAATATCTGGAGATGACAGCTGGTGCACTTGAATTTAAYATCTAACCTAATTTAGGATGTGGATGTAGCAAAGGGTATTTTTCTTAGGTTCTCATCACAACTGCTTAGAGAATGCATACTGGTGGGGTGCCCTGCTTTCCCAGGAGTTCAGTTCAACAGAGAAATATTTCATAYGCTCTGGAGAAAAGTGTCACATTGTTCTTTATCTGTATTTTTAGGTACTGCTGTAGCACTCATTATCCTAGCTTCGGGATTTTTGCTATCAGCTCAGGTCTCGCCAAGGATCACACTTAATCCACCAGATCCTTCACATCAAAACTCTACCTGCACAAAATACAGGTGAGATTTCATGGTCATTCATCCAATCTTCTTGAAGATTGTTGCCARTTAATGGAGTTTTACAATCTAGTGTGAGTAACAGATTATTCACAAAGCCTAGTACACAGAACTAAAACAGATAGCTAAATTTAAAATCCTAACTTCCCTCTGTAGAGAAAATTATACTCTTTGATTAAATTCTCAGAGAAATCTTTTGGAGTTTATTGAACTAAATAAGGTGGTTAAGTGGCAAATCCCACATTTGCCTCTTCTGATACATCACACCTGCTACAAGTTATAGTGTACACAAAGTCASGAATATTTTATAAGGAATTTGAAAAAATGCTTGCTGTTATTATCTGCTTGTAGATTTGTCATGGATAGCAGCTGTAAACTCTTCAAGAAGATGTGTTCCTTGCCTATTGTTTTCTTGTGCTGGAAAAAGTAATCTTCAGATAATTGCATACCAATTAGCAATTATAAGAAATGTGCCRATTTTGACCTCTTTTTCTTCCATATGCAGTCATAGTTTCAAATAACATTACTTCTGGGGATTTAAGAATGTGTAATTTTCTGCATTTTGTTGGTTTTATTCAAATGTGAGTGCTCTTAYGTTCATTTAGCTGACAGACTAGAAAATTTTCTATTCAGAGAAGACTAGTYCAGTGGCTGAAGAAATTCTTAATTATCTTCAAAATCTGTCTTACACGTGTTTGTAATGTAAATAAATATCAAGAAGTGAGAGGTACACTTCTAGTTTTGTTGCAATATTGGCTGGAAATATGATTGGTGGCTTTTCTTATGCCAGAGCAATGTCTTAGGTGAAAGATTCTGAGGATCTGAGGTTTTAGAGAACACTGGGGAGGGGATGGAAGGACTTCATAATAATAACTGCAGCTCAGGATACTACTAGATAAAATGATTCCTACATCAAAAATGTATATTTTTACTTGTTTTCTACTGCAGATTCAGCTATAATTTGCAATTTTTGAGATGGGCCTGTCTACAAAATGGCAAGTAGTCTGGTTAAAAGAGGTAAAGGGRGAAAATGCTCTCCTTTTGAAATAAGATTACATTAAAAGAAAAATGTAAAAGAAAGATTTGCCTTGGACTCCATTTAACTGTTTGGAAAGGATGTCTGAAGAGAGCAGATGCACCCTTTGCAGAACTCATAATTTGTTATTTAATAAAGCTAGATGGTTAATATAACCTGAAATGGTGTAACATTTGCGTACAAGAAATTAGCTATTCCAATTTAAAAAACAATGAAAAAATATTCGACAGAATTATCATGTTCCAGTTAACCATGGCCAGTCAGGAAGGAAATTTTCATAGCTTTTATAGCATGCACTTCTGGACAAAAACATGAAAAATTAAAGCAGGTAGTTCTTGTAAAGGCATGTTGTTTCATGAATTATTGGAATACTTGTGATCTGTTGTGATTTCTGTTTCTGATGTGAAGTCAGTAAAAACAGATACGATAAAAATTCAAAGATTCTGGGAAATAGYAATAAAATAACTTGAATATTTTCATTTGAGAGTATTTTGAAATAGAAGTAGCTTACTTTGTTTAAAGATAGAATGAATGGGGAGGAAATAATGAGTCACCTATGAGAAAGCTTTAGGTGCTTCTGTTTTAGTTTTATGCTRTATTATAGTAGAGAGACACAAGAGCCAGGAGAGTTGAAACAAGTAAATGGATGCATTTGCCCACAAATCACAGAATTAGGCTACAGCACCCAGTATTTAAAACGATTACACAAAAAATAGGGATTGATATGCTTAATAACAATTTTCACACTTGTATACCTAAAACGGTATAAATTTTCATGCTTYAGAACATCACCAAACTGTAATCCAGATACAGCCAAAGGAAAAATATTCCTTCAGCATCATGAATATTAATGTTCATTATTTCTGGAGGGTATGACATWACCAGCATACATTGTATTCTACTTGGAAAAGTGGCCCTTTAAGATCTGAGTATGMCTGTTTTCTACATAGTCAATAACCTGAATGAAATATAAAATATTGTGTTTGTCATGAGAAAGTAGATGGTGTTTTCAGCACTCCACTTGGGTTAGAAGAACTTCAACACTAACATGCATGGTCTTGGAAGGAAGAGAAGCTGGGGACTACAAACCAAAGGAAAGCTAAAGGCCTGGCTTTACATTGGGACTCACCTCTTTCTCCTTTTTGACCCTGGAGGTATTGCCCATGGCAATTATGGAGTTGAATCAAAGAGATTCCCAAACCTGAGGATTTGGAAGTAAAAGTCTATTCTGCCTAACATCAGTCTTGCATATTTTCTTTGCTGCTCTGAGAATAATGGCATTACTTTACAGATAGCCCCTGTKTAGGCAGTGAGTGTTGCTGTAGAGATAGTTACGGAATATCCAATCATAAGTAAAAGGAAGTAAATTAATGGCAGTGATCTCTTGTTCTTTAACCCATATTTTAGTTTGCTCCAGTATAACTAGAGATTGCTTAGCATTGTATCTTGAAAAATCTTCGATTGGTCTYAGAAAGTTTGGGAAATGCAAAAGGCAGCAGGACTTCAGACGATAAACACAACTCCATCTCCCTGTAACTGTTTTTAGATATGTCCCTGCACAATGCAGCTCATAGTCTTCTTCCTCTAATGGGGCTGTAGTCTTTCTCTGAGGTGAGGTAAACTGAAAGTCTAAACCTGTGTGCATCCTGGGCATTTCAGAATGTGGGGGTGTTTCCTAAACATAATTTGCATTTGTCTGTGCCAAAATGTATTTATAAGTTGTGAAAGTGTCAGTAGAATTTATTTTGCTGACAGGAGTTTCACTGATGCTGTGCAGAGTAAAAATGCTTTTTATGTTTGCAAATCCATCAGGTTTAAGTAAGTGTGGGTGTCCATTAAGGAACCCTTAGAGCTACTACAAACAGTGTTTGCTTGTTTTTCCTTCAGATCCRTATTTCTCTGCACAGACAAATTCCTGCTGCTAGAATAACAAYGAAGATAGGAAGACTAGCAAATAAAGAGCACAGTCATTGTCCTAATTTGAAAAAGCACGAACGACTTGAATTCTGTGTTCACAAAGAGCTGTGCTATGCAAATGGAGTTACAAGATACCTGTACATGGATGCAGAAAAAAAATCARTAAGATACATTGCAAATAAAATAAATCAAAGAAGTTATTTTCATTTGGTGTAGAGATGTACAATATTACAGTTGAACAGCCAAAAAATGATCCATAAATCCATGAAAAAAAAAATTGACTCGTGGAAATATTGCAAATTCAACAGGGCATTCCAAACACTGAAATTTGTTTTGCCTCCTTACAGGTGGAAGTGGGTGTGTATCTCACTGAGGAGAGGTGGGGTGAATGCTCCTCTCTGTGCCATCCATTAATCAAATTTCATTTTCACACTCAGCTGTRTAAGGTTGTGCAGGTATTTGCAATGTGACAACCTGTTTTATTTGATCTTAATCTCATCAGCAGCTGTCATCTGTTACTTAATCAAGGCCACAGAAAAGCTCAAAGGTAAATTTAAGAATACAAAGCAGCATGTCCCCAAATTTTGTACCTTAGAAATCAAAAGATGAACTAYGCATTCCTGCTATTGTTCTGACTACTAAAACTCTATAAATGTTCCCATTTCTACTGGGAACTTGCCTGGTTCTGGAAGGAGGTTTAGTTAGAATGTGTGTACTAGCTGCCCTCCCACCTTTTCCCAATCTTTGAAAAATCAGTGGCTGTGCCTGTTTGGGACCTTGAGCGATTTCTGTGAAATGACTGATCCTGCTGCCTTGGATTCTTGTTCATTTTGTCTCCCTTCATTCACATGTCTCTCTCTGCATTTCTTGACACTTGGTCAGATGTAGAAGACATAATGTGARCTTGTTCTGCTTAAGGAGTATTTTTCATGTCAGTTACTATATGAAAATGGTAAATACTTTGTTAAGCCTAGGTCAGCCTTCCTATCTTAGTGAAATAATACCTGTGCACACAAAGTTTCTCAGGAGCCTTCCTGAACAGATTGTCTTCAGACTGATTCAAACAATACAGGCGGTGCCAGCTGTGCTGGACACACAAGGACTCTGTTGTTCATTTTTGAATTAGTCACCCTCACGTGGTTCATGATCTTTAGCTCATTGTRCAAATACACACCACCGAGATGAAGGCACCAATATTTAGTACTCCTGCTATTCCATTTAGTAAGATAGCTAATGGACAGAAATATATCTTTATGAATGTAGCCTAAGTATATCATTATAATCAGTCCTGAAAAACTYGGCTAACCTATTAACTGGAGATGGYTTTGTTGCATTTAATGAATTTAGGATGCATACAGTAGGTATATTAGCTATTGTACTTTATTTTATTGAGCACTTGTTGACAATCTGATTTATCAGCAAACTCTAGGCATTGCTATTTTTCATAAGGTCACTGTATCATGGAACCGGTATTTCTTAAAATGCAGTTCTCATTTTCTGTTTGTAATGTCAAAGTGCCTGAGCAGCTGGTCTTTCTTATAATTGAGAATTGCAATAATAAATATAGTAATGTGCTGTGGCCATTGAGGTCTGAAAATTATGAATATGTAMAAAGATAAACATGTTTGAGAATGCTTTTGCCAGCTCTTATGAAGTATAGTTAAAATTCTAATAGTTTATGTTGTAGAACTGTGAAATGACCTCAACATAGTATTGGAATTTTTTAAGTGAATAATATAATGATACATTGCTTGGTAATGATTTTCCCTTTGCTGGCATGTTGGTCCTACCAAACAAAACTTGTGATTTAATTTTAAATTATAAATGATAGGAAGGAATATGTCAGTCCATGTAGTATCTTTAATGTGCATGAGAAAAAACTCTTCTCATCAATTTAAACACAAAGATCTGAAAAGTAAYTTACCTGAACTGTAATGTCTGTGAGTGCAATGCAATTCCTTTAACCTGTAACATACTTTGGCTCAAACTCTGCATTAGTGAGAAAAGAAGTTGTTATTCATATAGTAGCCTATTAACACTTGATATCTCT